AGCTTGATTTAACCATTCTGCAACGTATACATAGTCCAAAACATCACATTGTTCACTGTAAATATATATAGTTTTTGTCAACTATACCTTATACTTAGACATGCATATATCTAGACATAAGTAGATCTATGTGTCATTATATGAGCTCAGAGAAAAAGAGTATATAATAGATCATTCATATGAATTAGTGGTGATAGAGTGAGGAGAAGTTGGGGAAAGGGAAGAAAAAGGGAAAAAAGCAAAAAATAAAACAATTACCTTCCAAGGTTGGGAGATTTGGTTTGTTCTTCTCAGTAGTAACTCCTTGGCAGAATGTTTTAGATATATTTTCTGGGACACAGTTTATTGTGGCAGCCACACTTATGAAAAAGTATGCTTTAACGAAATAAAACTTATTTAAGAGATGCTGTTGGCCAATCGTAACCAGAATTTGAGGGAAGCCTTTACTTGTTAATTCCTCGAGTGCCTAAATTTTTTTTTTAAAGGGGAAAAAAGCAAATTAGTAAAACATTTTTTCAGATATCATTAGCTTCATTCTCCTTTTGCATCCATTTGGTGATGGATGAAGGAATGCAGGACAGACATGAGGTACCATAAATGGCAGGTCTATTGAGAAAGACACGTAATGCCAGAACCATCTCCACAGTTCAACAACACTTCTGTCATTCCCCACCAATTTCTGAACTGTGCCTCGTGAAACCAGCCCTGCCACATAATGAAAGTGAACCTGGTACTCAGAGTGAGAAAAAGGACACCTTATTAAAATAGAGGAATTGCAAAATCTCACCAGCCACATGCCTCGGCCACTCTGCTTTAGTGTGAGTAAATTAGAGCTGTTAGGACAGGAACAGGAAAAGAACAGATGGACAAGCCATCTCCTTACCCAGCCGAGAGTCAATGGCCAGTCATTAGCCATTGTATACATCCTCCTTGTATACATCTTCAACTCCCTGACCTCTCCCCCGAGCATACACACTTCCTTAGCAAAATCACAACCCTAACTCTGAAATCCAGCTCTGAGCCTTCTTAGGCCTGCACCTCTGCCATTGAAGAGGGCTGGAGAAAATCACACAGTCGCACAGTGGTCCCGCTTAAGTGTCTGTCCGTCCTCAGCACTACCTGATAATTATCCTACACTTTGCCAATCTATTCTATCCTACGTTTTGTCAATCTATTCACTCTCCTTCTCTCTTAGACAACCATTTCACTCTCTTCTCTAAATTCTAACTCTTCCTCTCCTATCTGCCCCACGCCCACCCCCAGCTAATGACCTGGCTTCCTACATGTAACTGAGAAAAGTGAAGCAGAATAGACCTTCCATCCGCCCCACTGCTCCATCTTTCTCACCTACCTGAGCATCTGCCCCCACATCTCTGCCTTCCTACCTGCTACCTAAGGCTGGCGCTGCCACATAGGACAGCAATCCTGTCCCCACTGGCCTACTCAACCATTCTCTCCTACACTATAAAGGTTTCCCTCTCTATAGAGAGACATTCCTATCAGCAGACAGCCATGTTGTCATCCCTATCTAAAAAAACCCAAAACTCTCTATATTACAACTTTTCTCTCCAGCTACTACCTCAATTCTCTGCTCACCTTCATAGCAACATTCTAAAGAGGTGTCAATATTCCAATCTCCCTCCTTTCATTTGCTTTTAAATCCCCTCCATCCCTACATCCAAACCCTTTGGTCAAGGTCACCAGTGGCTTACACTTGCTAAATCCAAAGTTCAATTCTCAGTCCTGATATACCTTGTTACTTCTAATCTGAGACACCATTATTTTATATGCCAATTAAACTGTCACACACTGTCAACCGTAAAATGCATTCTGATTTCAGATAAAAAAATTCATGTTAAAGACTCAGTGAATTATGGTACTTGATTCAGCAGCAAAATTTGATACTGCTGATCACCCCCTCCTTCTGAAAATGCTTTTTTCTCTTGGCTTTCAGGCCACCACGCTCCTTTGGTTTCCTTCCTATCCTACTGACCACGCCCTTTCAGTCTTTTTTTCTGGTTCCTGTACTTCCTAATATTGGAGTATCCTGGCACTCAGTCTTCTTTATCCTCACTCCTTGCCCTTAGATGATCTTAATCAGGCTCATGGTTTTAACTTCATCTAAAGGCTGATGAAATCACATTTTTCTCTCCAGCTCCAACCTCTCTTCTAAACTCAAGACTCATCGAACCAACTTCTCACTCAACTTTTCCACTTGGATGTCTAACAGACACCTCAAATTCAACATGTCTAAAACTGTATTCCTGCCCTGCCCACCCCCATTACCACCACCACACACACACACACACGCACATGCACGCAGATACACGCGCACACACGCACACGCACTCACACATGCATACGCACACAAATACGCACACACGCACGTGCACACACGCACACGCACGCACACATGCACGTGCACGCACGCACGCACACTCACGCACACACACGCACACACGCGCGTAAGCTCTATATGGGCTGGGACTTGTCTGTATTGTTGATTGACTAATATGTTTGATTGACAGCACCAGAACTGTACTGGAACACAGTAGGCTCAACAGATTAGCTAAAAGATCCCTTTAAAACATAAGTAGATAGGTCCACACCTATGCTAGAAACTCTCCTGTGGTTCCTCATTTTGCTCAGATAAGAACCTAAGTTAAAATGACTCTACAAGGCCCTTCTCAATTTGGCCTCTCTGACCTTACTTCCTACTGCTCCCCCATCCATCACACAGCTTTAGCCACACTAGCCAAGACGTCCCTCACCAAGCTAGGCAGTCCTGCCTCAGGGCCTTTGTACTTGCTATTCCCACTTTCTAGATTGTTCTCTCTCCAGATTTCATATGATTTGCACCTTTACCTACTTCACGTCTGCTCACAAAAGTCACCTTGACCACACCATTTAAAATTAAAATTCCCAACCTAGCCCCACGCTTCCAATCCCCTTTCCACATTGCTGTGTTTATTTTCTCCCATAGCATGGTTCTCCTTCTAACATACTATATAATTCACCTATTTACAATGTTTATTTATATATCTTGTTTTTACTAGTCTTGCCCGTCGAAATATAAGCTCCATAAGGACTTGGAGTTTGTGTGTATTGCTGATTGACGGATGTATTTGATTGACAGCAACAGAACAGTGCCTTGCACATGATAGGCTCTTAATAAGTATTTGTTGAATTAATATAAAAGGCAGATGCTGGGGCTATCTATTCTAGAAAAGAGAGAAACTATTTGTCGTGTGTAAACAAAAAAAAATTCCATTGTTTGCAAGAGTTTGACGCAACGGTGGCAGTGGGGATGTTTGCTGCTACTGTTCATTCTCTCTCCTTAATCTTGAAGAGGCAGAAATCAATACATGCAGAAGAGCCACACAGGAGCGGCCACTGAGCCTGAGCTGCTACCAAACTGCTGCACCAGGAAACTGGTTGACCTTCCCTAGGTAGGGAAGAAACTTCAGATTGATTGGGGGTTGGAGGAAGAGAAGACCGTTTCTCTTCTCTTTTCTCTCCGCAGCAAACAGTGATTTAATAAGACTTGACAATTACACATAAACACTTGAGGATCAAAAGAAGATTAATTAGTAACACTTTAGCACTACTTTCTCTCCCTTTATGCAGAAAATATAAAGTGTAATCTGAAGATTCTTAAGCAGACCGACAGTACCATTTTAATTAATTAGCTAATAGAAATTAGGTTTCCATTATACAGTCAGTCGTTTTTGTATTAAAAGAAATGATCGGACAGACATTTTTTTTATAACGAAAACCAATCCTTAACCAAGTGTTTTTAGGATGCCCTGGCATTTATGACTGGAAAGAAATAAATAATCATAAACACCCCAAGGAATTGGAATACTAAAATGAAATATGAATATGTATTTGTATCTTCCTAAAACCAGATCTTTCATCTCAGGCAACTTGCTTATAAATTAAAACAAATTTTTAGGCAAAAACAATGAATCATTTGAAGCATAATTAACAGTGAACTTTGTGGAATAAAATGCATAAAAATAGAAAAGTAATAAGATTACATTTAATAAAAGGTGGATAGATTCCTACCAGAACTACAAAAGACAAAAATAAAGCAATTTAGAGGATGTCTCTCAAAATTATTTTAAAAAATAAATATCTTACGTAATGAAACAGAATGCTGTTTTCTAGCACTTAAAAAAAAAAACAACCAGGAGTATGTATCTGCATTAACTCCACCTGGTTATAGAAGCTCCTCCCCTATCCATAACCCCCTTTAACAACAATCATGCTACAACTCTTCTGCTCTAACATTTTCTGGGAGACACATTGCCAATACTCCTAAAAAAATTTTTAAATGAGTATTTTAAGATACTTAAATGCTAGTGCTTAAATCCTAACCATGCAATTATTCACAAAAACAAAAGTATTCAGATGGGCAGTCTAATCCCCTTTCTGTGAGAAATATCAAGGAAGTCAGAGGAGCTGCTTATGAAAATGCCAAATGAAAACATCCCAAACCACTGGCTGGTAGACAGTCTCAGAACAAGGCAAAAAGGTCTGAGTGAAAGCAGTATTGAACATGTGGGCTATTATGAAATGTACAAAATCCTTTTCTTACAATCAAAGTCAGCTGTTACCTTCTAGTTAATCAAATTAAATATCAGAGTCAGAGATATTTGACACGGCTAGGTGAACACACTGAATATGCACCTGAAATGGAGAAACAGGAGCAGGGACTGCTATTTACCCAAGATCAGTTTGATCCAATCCTATGCTGGCCTCAGAATTTTGAGATAAAACCCCATTATACAAAATAATAACACATACTACACAGCAGATTTTCAAAACCAAAGATTATACCTGCCAAATAGACTGAAATGACTCAAAAATTGTCTACATTAAATATCAAATGTTTATAAAATGTTTTATCCTTACCTGCATATTTTCTTTACTGCTAAGAGGTTTTCCTGAGTCAAATGATTGAAATATCTGTCAAAATACAAAATATTAATAGTAGAAACAAGATTATTTGAGTATTCTTTCAAATGAAACTGCTAATGTATTCTTCTAAAAGTATTTTAAGTACCATTTTTATTGTAAAAATAATACATGCCCTAGTCAGAAAAGATAATTTATATAAAGAAGAAAGTAAAAATCATACATAAGTCAATTTCCTTTAGGTAGTCAATGTTAATATTTTGATGTCACTCTTACCAATTTTTATGCAATTTCAGTGCATTTTTAAAATTTATATAAGGATGTGTCTTTCATTTTCACTAAATGTTACATCATAATTTTCTTCCCATACTATTAAATTATTTGTAAACCTCAGTCTAATAGGTAGGTAGTATCCTACCCTATGAAAATACTGTAATAGCTTCGTCTCTTTCCTATTAGACTGTAAAGGAACCACTTCTCACTGTCATCCCACATTCCCCCTAGTTTAAACAACATCGATGACTATTTTGTCTGTACTTCTGATTATTAACTCTGGATAGATTCTTGGAAGCAGAATTTCTGGGTCAGAAGATAAGAATGTATTGAGAAAACTGAAAGGGGCTGGCTTCATTTACACTCCCACCCACAGTGCATGAAAAGGCCAGGATTACTGCTCTTTTGACAGCATTGAGTGTTACCACTTAAAAATATCCTTACCATTTGAGGTAAAATTGTATTACTGTTCAGAATGACTATTTTTGTGATTCTTTTCCTTTTCGTGTGAATTACCTGTTAATGTGTTTGGCTCTAAATTTAATGTTGCATTAGGAAACATTTAGTTCCTTTGCCACAGAGATTGTTGTATCATCAAATAGGATGTGTCCCTGTTGGTATAAAAGGCCCTTCTTAAAAGATGCCCATTTGGCTGCCCGGTTAGCTCAGTTGGTTAGAGCATAACACCAAGGTCAAGGGTTTGGATCCTCATACCAGACAGCCGCCAAAAAAAAAAAAAACCCAAAACGATGCCCATTCGTAGAAGCCAATACTGATGCTTCTTCCAGAAGTCACCAGCAGTTTCTGAGGACAGGTCGCTTGCACATGGATAGTGTCCTACCTCAAGCACCTCTACTTCTTTGCCTGAGAGCATTATGTGGCCATCAAAATGTTCAGGAGAGACTAGAAGTGCAGGGAACAAACCTTACCGATGAGGGACAAGAGAAATGCTCTACCCAGTCTCTCTGAGAGCCCCAGTGCCCACAGCAGTGACCTGATTAATGCAATCTAGGTCGGTTTTTCTCCTTTCTTTAACTAACTTATACTCTCACTCACCATATTTCCTGAATCACCTCCCAAATACACTACTTGTTCCCAAATTCTTATCTCAGGATCTGTATTGGAGGGACCCCAAATGAATACATAACATATAACATTTATTGGAAGAAAGTACTGGTAAGTGAAATTTTTTTCTTTTTTGAAGATATTCATTATTGCCTATCATACGTTGAAGAGTAACTGAACCTGGGGGAGATCTTAAATTGAAGAGAGTTGATAATGGGACTTTAGATTTGGTGATAAGAGCAGAATATCCATATGAGTATAAAGTTAAAATACAGAATTTTTTAGAGGCCAGGGAAGAGACCAGTAGTAATCTGTAAGCTTTTTTCCGTAACTTCTTCCACAAGTGAAACCTAATTTATTAATCCCTTCTTTAAATAACTAGCCTACAGCCTAATAACATTGGCACTTATTTTAATAATAAGCCCTGAACGCATTTCTTCTTTTAATTACACTTTTTAATTCCCAATTGAAGCTGGAAAGCTGCAAATTAACTTCGAGATTATAAAATTTGAAGCCAGAATCCATCGGGAGATAATTCACCCACACATTTATCTTATGAAAGCTAGTTGATAAAAAGGAAATTTGGAATTTACATGTAAAAATTAGTTTAAGACTTTTCATTTGTTTGTTTTGGTGAAAGCAGCAGCCTCTGAAAACTCTCTCTTGTTTCTCATCCTACCCAACTGCTTTGTCTTCCTTTCTCATCTTCCTGGACGTTAACTGTGGACAACCCTAAAGTTCAGTCCTCTGCTTTGGACTTCTACTTTTCTCTCTCTGCTTTGCTCCCCAGCTGATTTCATCCTATGCTAATGCTCCCAAGTTTATACCTGCAACCCCAATCTTCCCCCTCCAGACCATGTACTGGCAGCAGCTAACAATCCCATATCTTCACCTGGTTGTCTACTAGAGACCTCATGCTTAACATCTCCATCCCCTGTCTGGAGCAGTACTCCCCATCTCAGTAGATGAAAACATTTTCCTACCAGTTGCTCAGGTTGAACACTGTGGTCATCCTTGACTCCTTTCTCTTACATCCCACATCCAAACGATCATCAGCACACGCTGTCAGAATACCTTCACCATATACCCACTGCTCACTCCATCTGCCACTGTCACCCCAACCATTACCATGCCTCACCCAGATTACTTGTGACAGTCTTCTGACTGGTCTCCCTTACTTATACTCCTGCCCACCCACAGTCTATTCCCCAAACAGCAGCCAACGTGGTCCTTTCACATTTAATTCCTATCATGCCACTTCTCTGCTCAAAACTCTTCAAAGTTTCCCTTCTCATTTAGAGTAAATCCCAGTCCTTATCAAGCCTTGTGAGATCTTATGTGACCTGGCTCCTAGGCCCTACCCTCTAATGGTCCTCCGCCTCCTCTTCCTCTTTATCGCAGCCTCACTTGGCCCACTTGGTTTTCCTCAACTACATCTTGCAAGCATCCCTTTCAGGACCTTTGCCCTTGCAGTTCCTCCTACTTGGAAGGTTGTTCCTCAGATCTTTGCGTGGCTCACTTCTCTCAAAACTCACTTATTAACAAGACCTTCCAAAACACCCTGAATAAAATAGCCACCCACTGCCCCGGTCACTCTCTATCTCCCTCACTTGACTGTAAGCTCCAGGAAAGCAGTAACGCCATTTGTCTTTTTACTGCTCCATTCCCATGCCTGGAATGGTGCCTGTACTAAGCAAGCACTTAAATATTTTTCAATTAATTAAAGTACAATTTTAACAACAAAATGCAAATCATTTAGAATAGAGAAAGGCTGCTTACTGAGAAGCATGCAAGAAAATACTGCCAATTTAACCCAGGTAAGAAGGAACATCTTCCTTCTTAGTTCATGTCACAGAAAATGAACAAAATAGACAACCTATTGATTCCTCTCTCTTCCTCTCCCCCACTCCCCTTCCTTGTGTGTGTACATATATGAGGGTACTTCAAAAAGTTCATGGAAAAATAGAATTAAAAAATAATACTAATCTTTCCATGAACTTTTTGAGCTACTCTCCTATAAATGCACACAGATATACACATATATATGGATATATTTATATACACGCACACACACACTCACACACACATACGTGTATCCTGTTGCCTAAAGAACTTACCTCTTAGAATGTTCTGTAGATAGCCTCACACTTACCCTATTACAATTAATTATAATAACGCTGCAGCAGTCGTAGGGAGTAATAAGCAAGCATGTTTTAGGGGAATATACTGAAGTAATGAACATATTATACATAAATATGATGTCAGCTTATGCAAGTGATTTTCAGGACTTCCAGCTCATTCCCCAGTTTCTTTTAGGTCCTCCAAATTTGAATGCAGCCAGCATGTATTGTGTCTGTCAGTCTCACTTCTCACACACGGGGTTTCCTCCAGGCAAATTGACTTGCTACTTCCTGCTATTTCCTTTATTCCTGGCCCAGGAGGGTCCAAGCCTCTGCCTAAAGCAAGATCACCCAATAATTCCCAGATCGCCATGAAAACCAAAGCAGAGGAAAATAATAACTCACTCTGATTTAATTTATGCTTTAAATGTCAGCTCCAGCAATCATTTTCAAGGATGCTTCAATTATTCAGTTTACAAATACAAATCAAGCAAGCCACATAAAATGATCTCCTAAGATCAAAAAACACTAGAAAAAATTGAGGAATGTTCTCTCCTCACAGAGATCAGAAGAAATTTGAACAACACATTCTGAATTCTTTGATATAAAGTATACAAAACAAAAAGATCCAAATAAGAGATGAGGAGAGGCTATTTTTTTAAGGATTACTTCTTTACCTTTATTTTATTTTTTACACCATAAAAACATACAATTTTTATTTGTCAATTAAAAAACAACTTAAAAAAATTGCATACTATTCTTTTGTCCTGGAGAAACACAGTGCACATTAGCACATTAAAGTCTCTCAGAAGGAGAGGCTATTTTTTTTT